TTATTCATTTACCGCCCATCTAAAACATGTCTACTCTGGGGAGTTTACATATAACATAAAAATAAACTGAAGTAAAATCCAAATTAATCACAAAGTCCAAGATGGGGAAAGGAAAAAAGGAGAAAAAAGGAGAAGGAAGTTAGGCTAGGTAATGGCTGCAGGGAAGGCCTGCCTATATAGCTAGGCCCTCAGCGAGGCAGCCAGGCAGATCTCTACAGGTAAGTTGTTCCAGAGGCGAGGGGCCACTGCCGAGAAGGCCCGATTTCTAGTTTTTTCCCACCAGGCCTCTCTTGGCGTTAGTCCCCTCAGCCACCCAAGTTGACTGGAGCAGGTGATATGGGTAGAACTGGGTGGTATTGAGGGTCTAAACAGTTAAAGGCTTTGTATGTAATAGTTAGCACCTTGAAACTGATGTGGAAGCGGACAGGTAGCCAGTGTAAGGCGGCCAAGGTGGGGGAAATACTGTATGGTGAAATCTTTTCACCCCTGTTAATAGCCTAGCCACCGGGTTCTGGACCATCTGGAGCTTCTGCATCAATCTCAAAGGAAGCTCCAAATAGAGAGCGTTACAGTAGTCTATTCTTGAGACTACGAGCACATGGACCCGTGTGGGGAGTCCCCCTGTGGGATGCAGCTGGGCGATCCACCGAAGATGTAAATGGGCAGACCAAGCCACAGACGCTACCTGGGTCTCCATGGTAAGTACTGGGTCAAGATGGACCCCCAGACTGCGAACTGAATTCTTTGTGATGAGAGTCACCCCCCCAAAAGAGTGTTCCCCTAACCACTGACATCGGGGCCACCCACCTGTAGGATATCTGTCTTTTTCAGGTTCAACCTCAGTCCATTTGACTGCATCCATTGCAGAACGGCCTCCAGAATATGCTTTGGCCACACAGCACATAAACAATCTTGGAGACTTTTTCTCTTTCAGAAACTTTATTATTCAATGTTATGCTTAAAGTAGCACAAAACCCTACTTTAAGCATCACGTAATACAGTAGTTATACAAAACTAATTTGCATCATTTCGAGATACATTATTGGACACTTATACAACAATCCGCTTCCGTTGAACCTCTCTCTCTCTCTGTGTATGTGTGTGTGTTTGTGTGTGTGTGTGTGTGTGATGGATCCTCCCTTAAGTTCACGTAATTATGAGGCAAACCCCCAGATATTCAGAAAGCCAGCCCCTGAGGTGAGACGCCACAAAGTGGCGCTATTTTGCCTCTACATCCGAATATATTCTCCCTTCCGAAGGGAGCCGGGAAAGCTATGCGGGAAGCAGCTGCGGCGGCATCCCAGAACCAGCCGATTTACAGGCTTCCCGGGAACGAGAGCGGGAAGAATTTGCAAAAAGGATTAAGGCCTAAGCCAAGCGCCTTGTTGGGTTTGCGAGCATGTTCTGGAAAGCCTCTCCCCCTCCGCCCAAAACCTTTAGAAACCGCGTAACGTCTCATGATCGGAAGCGGTGCGTCAGTTTCCAGTAGAGAGCGCTGCCCGTCAAGAATTGCACATGAACGTGGCGAGCCGAGAAAGGGGGGGGGGAAGAAGCCCCATCAGAGTTAGAGACAGAAGTTTTTTTTTTTGGGGCGGGAGAAATCATGACGCGTCACGGCTTGAAACGTGTGTGTAGCGAGTCGCGTTCATTTAATTCCCAATATCAACATAACTGGGGGTTCACTTTTCCATTTGTACTGTAGATGAAGTGTGGGGGGGGCAGGAGAAGGTGATCCCAGTGCTGCCTAAGCAAGAATTAGCCGGGTGCTTCCATCTGATCGTTCATCATCATCACCTCCAAGTCATCGCGGGTGAGCCCCGCGACGACTTGAGGCGCACTCGGCCTGGCCAAGGCGCGCGGCTGGCCCCTCGCCAAGTGTGCCCGTGCGGGGTCCCGCCATGTAGACGAGCGATGCTGAGGGGCGATGCTGAGGGAGGGAAAGAATGGAGCCCTTTGAGGCGCGGAGGGGGTCGCGTGCTCCGAAAGCCTCCCCCCCCCCGACCGCCACCCCGTCTTCCAGGGGAGGTTGGAAGCGTGCGTCCATGTGGAGCTATTCATCAGCGACAACAGCTTGGCCGACACAAGAGGGCCGGCCGGGCGATTGTTCGCGGCGCTCTCCTCCTCCTCCCCCCTCCCCCCCGCCGGCCCAAAGCAAATCCTCGCCCCGGTGGCAGGTGGGCCGTGCTGCTATGAGGAGAAAGCCCCGATTGTCCGCCTTTCCAAACTGCCACACGCCAGACCGTGGCTATTGTGCGGGTCGCCATAGAGATGCAAACGAGCCGCGTGTGCCCGCAGCCACAATGGGCTCGGCGCCCTCGGCCCCGGTGAACTTTGCAGGAACTGGAGCCCTTTGCTTGTCTGCTCTCTTCTCTCTCTCTCTCTCTCTGAAAGGGAGGCACGCTTCGGTTTGCGGCTGCACAAAGCGGAGGAGGGTGCGGAGTTGCACCTCCAGCCCGGCAGCAGGGGCTGCAAAAAAATAAAAAATAAAAAATAAAGCCAAGCTACCCAAGTGCAAAAAGGGCGAGCGGGCGGGAGAGGGGGGCGAGTAGTCCCTGTTATTGATGATAAGGCACACCCTGTCGTGGCTTGCCAAGAGATCAGTAAAATTGCAAGCAGGGAAGTCGGGGTGGGGTAAAGAATGTTGGGATGTGCTTATGCGTTAGGCACATCCCATAGAAATGCCCTGTCTGGCAGTGCCTCTGTATTTTATGCAATGTGCTTGCATAAACTGCACAGAAGGAAAAAAAATGTATTTTTAATGCATTTCAAGAAAGCGGCTGCCCTCCTCGAAAACTCAGGTTAAAAACTTCCCAGTTTTTCATGAGCTAGCAAGTCCCTCTCTTCGTTTTTACTAGTACAAACGTAAGAGTTGCTTCTTCTGAAAATTTTGCCTCCACGCCCTTTGCAAAGTTTTTATGAGCGATGCCACAAGTTGCACATCCGAAGCAACATGCTCCCCCGCTTGGATTCCTCCCCGCCTTCCCCCCCCCCCCCGTTGAAGATCAAATATTCCGGCTCCAGTCTGCCTAGTAACATTATAACAAAAGCAGCGGGAGCAGATTTGACGCTTTGTAATCCCCCCCTTTTCTCCCTCCTCTCTACTACTCACTAGCCCCCCCCCGCTTCTCCCACGTGGCCTCTTGGCACGAGCCGGCTCTACCCCCTGCCTGCTTAGCATAACAATACATCCCCAATCTGGCCAATCAGAGCGGCTCAGATCCCGGCAGCTGCCGGCACAGTAGCTCGGCAAGGCTATAAATACGGCGGCTCTTGTTTTGCGAGCTCGTACTCCGCTTGGGCACGAAGAGAAAAAGGGTTGTGAGCGTGGCGGTGGTTCTTAGGCTTTCGTCTCGCGTTAGTTGTGCAGAAAGATCTGGGAGCTTTTGGGCCAAGCTTTGCCGTGTGGATAATCCTTGTTGTTTGGACTTTTCTTCGCCGCGTTTTTCTTTGGACCATTATGACTCTGGAGGAAATTCACGGCCAGGAACCCATGCCTGAAACCAGCGACAGGTAACTAACGATCCATTTAGTTCAGACGATCTTCCAGCCCTTTCTTCCGGGGAGCCCCGCGGGGTGGCAAAAGGGGGGGGGCTTTTCTATACGGGGTGAAACTCGCGCGAAGCCCTTTCGTGGGGATCGGTAGCGAGCGCGGTGGTGGAAGGGGTGCTGGCGGTGGAGGGGAAGGGCGAGGAGCAAGAGAAGGGGCTTGCTTCCCTTGGGGTGGCGACCCAGCGGGAAGGGGATCGGGCGGACGGGCGGGTGGCGGACCGCAGTGGTAGCAGGTGTGGGGTTACCGGGCCGGCTGGACGACACCTGACGTCGCTTTCCTTTCTCGATCCTTGCAGCACCGCCAGCAGCGCCGCGACCGGCAGCAGGATGCAAAGCGCCGGCAAAGCTCTTCAGGAGCTGCTCGCCTCCTCCCAGCGCCGCGGCTGCCTCACCGTCGGCGTCTACGAATCGGCCAAGCTGATGAATGTGTGAGTATCCTGACCCGGGTCTGTCCTTCTCACCTTCCCCCCTGGCCCTCCCTAGGGTCTGGGGAGAGGGGATCTAGGGTGGCCTTCTTCCCGACAGGAACATGTTCAGTGTGCTTTGGAAAGTCTGTACCTAACCTATTTTCTCCTTTTGCCCTTTCTTCTGCAGCGACCCAGATACTGTCGCATTTTGCGTGCTGGCCGCTGATGAGGAGGACGAAGGGGACATTGCCCTCCAAATCCACTTCACCCTCATCCAGGCTTTTTGCTGCGAAAATGATATTGACATTGTGCGTGTGAACGACATCCCAAAGCTGGCCACCATTGTGGGGGCCAAGGAAGAATCTGGGGAGCCACGCGACCTGCACTGCATTCTCATAACGGTGAGTGTCATCGGCTGGCAGGCAGCCTGCTTGCTTCTATATTTAGACTTCCCGGCTGTCTTTCGCTTTCTGCAGAAAGTCCCAAGGTTGCTTCTCTTTACAAAACCTGGGACTTCCCCTAAATTTTTGCTGCCGCCTACTTCCAGCCCACATGATACTGTGTGAATAGTGACTTGTTGAAACAGCTTCTGGGAAAGAGGCTGGCCAGCAGCTTGGAGCCACCAGATAGCTGCCATAATATAATTTGAATGTTTTTGTCATTAGTCCGCTTCCAAGGGAGCTGATTTCATAAGTTTATCACCAGCTTCTGGAGGGCTGTGCAAATATAACATACTAAAGTAGATTTTTTTCCTTTGCTGTGCAGAGCAGCACTGTTGTTTACAATGCTATAGCTAATTTAGTTTCTCCTTTTAATGAGTAGGTATTGCTATCTGTCACAACATGTTTTGCTAATTCCTGGTTGGGCAGCGTTTACTCATGCATCTTTGTTCTCTTTGGTTTGTTGTAGAATCCTAATGAGGATGCCTGGAAGGAGCCAGCCTTGGACAAGCTGAGCTTGTTTTGCGAGGAGAGTCGAAATGTCAATGACTGGGTGCCCAATATCACCCTGCCTGAGTGATGGTGATGATGAAACAAAAGAAGCTACATGCATAGAAGAGGTTGAAACCTTTTGTTGCATTCTCATCCTGGAGTCACCCATCTGGGCAACCCAACAAAGTGGCTGATGCTGGGGATTAGCCTGGTCAACAGCTTGGATTAAGTCGCTCAGACAGCACGTGGTGGGTCCTTGTGGAGAAAGGAGAGACGCAGAGGAGGAAGAGGAGTGGCTGGTGCCACCACTGAGTCCTCGCAACGCTGCAGTGTTGGAGAAGCTGGCATATTTGTGGAGCAGAACATGTCCTGCACATTTTTGTAGGCATGAAAGGACGAGGGGGGAAAAAAACTGTTGGAAGATTCCAAGCCAGATGGAATGTGTGTACGAAGAAAGCAGGGGCAAACGTTAGAAAACTGGACACCGTGGTTTGGGACGGCATGGAGACAGAAAGGCTGGTTCGGGGTATGCAACCCCCCCGAGAGACTGGGAGCTCAATAGAGTTATATTTCTACAAAGACTTTAATGCAGACTGATCTCTTGAAGACCTTTGGACTATACCCTGCATTGATAACCAATTTTGCAATATTTCTCTTCAATTGAAATTGATGCTGCTATTGAAGATCTTATATGTCTTTATAATAAATTTTGATAACTGAACATTTATGTTGTTGTGGTCTTGTTTGCCAGGTGGGGTGGTGGAGGAGTGGGGACTCTGAACCAAAAAATGTATATAAAGGATGCAGTAGTAAAAATAATGATAGAGACAAACAGAAATTAAACTTTAATTCCTCCATAAAGGTGTTGCAAAGAAACAGTGCCTGTGCAAAGGGTTAAAATCACTGAGGCACAGGGGATTTAAGCACACTTAGTGTAAGTTTATGCACTTAGATTTGCTGTACATTTTACCATTTTTAATAAGCACATGCTGCCGGTTGCTGTTGAAACTGAAAAGAGAGGCATGGTTCATGTATTAGCTTTAAAAACCTCTGCCTTAAAATTGCAAGGTATGTGGCCCAGAGTTTATGTATCTTTAGTTGCAAATACTTGAACCCCACTGCTGGTGGTTGGACAAAGCAGATAGCTTCCAGTTGAAATGATTTGACCTTTCACCCACCTCATTGCAACAGCTGCTTATCGCAACAGCTTGCAAGACTAAAGAGCTGCATCTTGAATGAGCCCTAGTCCAGTAGGTGGTCTTTGTCGTGCACTGAAAAAAGTGGCACATGCGGCCAATAAGCTGTGCATTCACAAAGTGAAAGAATAAAGAGTGCAAAAATGGTAGTTTTTCTTTTTTTCTTTTGGTAATTTCAGAGGCTTCGCACTTAACGGCACTATAGTTGCAAATATTCAGGGTAAAGAAGTTGGAGGCAAAAGTCTTGCACACACCTAGCATTTTCATTTCTGCTCGACTAACTTTTTTTGGGGGGGTTAGCTGGAACTAGACGTTTCAGCTTCAGAACACCAGACACAATTGCATTGGAAATATGCAGATGGAGTGCCAGTAGCTTGCATCTGCTTCAAGCTGTCGGGCTGTGGTGTCTGTCTGCCATATGCTAGAACAATAGAAGCTGTCAAGTTCCACAATTGTCAGCAAGCACTAATTCAAGGAACAGCCCAAAGCATTTTTGTTTTCAAAAAGGGGAGATGTTGATTAAAAATAGTCAATCTGGATATCTGGCTCCTAGCAAGAGTGGTGTTTTGACTTTTTCACCTTGGGATAGTTATTTTCAGCTGGATAAACCACTATGCATACTGTGATTCACCAGCATATTTCACTGAAGCCACAAATACTCTAATCATATACCTCCAAAATATTCAGACTGAAACCAGAAATGTTTCAACAAACAGCATTAAGAATTCTTGTGTAGACAAAAGGAAAAGGAGTTGCTCAGCAGCCCTATGGATGGATGCCTTGGGGGAACAGATAGCATCAGTTACCTTGATTTCTAATTTTTTTCAGTTTCACCACTATGTTGAGAGAGAGAGAGACAAACATCTGGGTTTCATGATATCATTTGGCTTTGTCTGGAATTTGGATCCCAAACACTGCCTTGTATCTTGAGCAAAAACGATTTGGTGCCCAGGCAATGGCATCCAAACCCCTATTTCTAGTGTGGATATGTAAAAGGTATTCTGCATAGTGCAATTTGGGATTTACTTTATCTGTCTAAATGCCAATTATGCAACATTTCTTAATCCTTTAAGTTGCGATAACAAGGATAAGCAATGCCTTCATATGTACAGGAAAACTCAATCTTGACTGGGAAAACATTCTGATATGCTTGTTACGGAAGCTATATGTGAAAAAAATGTATTCATCTTAATCGATCTTAACCTATACCAGGAGTTATTTTAATCAGTGATATAACTTTGCTGCCATAATACCCCAGGTCTCAGGTTGTGGGTACTCAATTTTGAGCTTGCTTAGATGTTGTACAGCATGCATTAAGGATTAAAATAGCAGCGCAGAATGCTTTCATAATTTCTTTGAATTAGCAAATAGGCCCTTTTTTGTTTTCAGGGATCTTGCAAGATTCTGTAAGTTTCCTGGGAACCTTGTGTAACTTGCCCGATCAGTTCTACAGCCAAAAGCCGCGCGGAAATAAAAAGCTATCCTGAAATAACTTCAAAGCTTCAGCCAAAAGCGATGACCTTGAATAACTTAATAAACTGTTTAGTTGGTAAGACGGAAGAAACTCTTTAAAACAGAGAGTGTATATTGTATTACAACTGAAGACTAAGCATTGGCAACTTTGATAAAAGTGTTGTATACATGCAAGCTAAATATGTCAGGGAGAAAAGTTACACTCCATTTTTCTAAGCAGGAAACAAACAACATTCCAGTCACTAATTGCCCTGAAGTGACACTACTTCAGCCACATGGCAATAAGTAATGTAAAACAGGTCAGACCAAATCTATGCTTGTTTTTCCGGGTAGCTCATTCTGGAATACACTTGCAACCTACAGATTTTCTTGGCAGGCGATTCTGTGAATAGTATTTACATGCCCCCTGTTATGCTATCTGTGAAGCTGATTTTTGCCCTATTCTGGAAATCTTCAGGAAGTCCTTGAACAAAGATCAGTATGTACCTGGCTGGATAACTCAATGAGCTGGAGCACAGGAAGTAGGTATTCAATTCCCCAGTTTGCCTTCTGAGAAATGACCTAGCCTGTTTGGTCTTGGGCAAGCTAGATGGTCCCAGAATACATACAGAAGAATGGGAATGGAAAGCCACTTCTGAGTTATTCCTATTTAGAACCATCTGAGATGGGTTGCCATCAATCAGAATTGATTTGACAGCACATTATTATTGTTACATAGTACATATCACATATTACTACCTAACCAGCTCAAAGAAGCCGGAATGTATAATTATTTAAACTTACAGGGCAATATCCTGTTCAGTATTTTGGCATGTGGAGCTCCAACTGTAGAATCTGCTGCAACCATCGGATAAGGTGTTGGTCACACGAAGCCAGGCACACAACCAGCAATTCATCAGATCAGCATGACAGCTTCCACAGTTGGGAGTTCTGTATGCATAAATATTAAGCAGGATACTGGCCATAGGCTGCACCTTGATCATCCGTATTCATCATCTGTCCACGAACCTCTGGCTGTCCTTGGGTTTTGCCTACTGTTGTTGTTGACCATTGGCTGGACTGATGTGAAGTTAGCAACTTCTAGAGGGCCACAAGTGGCTCTAGATCCGTCAATATGCACAAATATGCCAATATGTTACATCAAGGGCAAAAAAGTGTGCTGCTTATAGAACACCCCATAGCACTTAAAGCAGAGGTCCTAATATGTTACATCAAGGGCAAAAAAAGTGTGTTGCTTATATAACACCCCATAGCACTTAAAGCAGAGGTCCCCACCCCCTGGTCCATGGCCCAGTGCTGGTCCGTGGGCTTCCTGGAACTGGGCAGATCTCCACCCCCCCTATGCACGCACGGGTGGCATGTTGCGCTAGCAGGTGGTGTGTTGCGCTTGCGGGTGGGTGTGTCATGCTAGCGGGTGGGCGTGTTGTGCTCGTGAGTGGGCATGCCACGCTCGCAGGTGGGAGGTTCATGCTCGTGGATGGGTGTGTTGTGTTAGCAGGTGGGCATGTCACGCTCACAGGTGGGCATGTCATGCCCGTGGATAGGCATGCCATGTCGCACGCATGCGCGCAGGGGTGACACGCCCACTCATGAGCGCACCCCCCCTCTGTGAGCATGACACACTCACCCATGACTGCGGGAGTGCCCCCACCCACCCACACATGGAGCCCACACCCCCCAACTGGTCCGCGGTCCGAAAAAAGTTGGGACCGCTGACTTAAAGCACTCTCTGGGGAGTTTACAGGTTAATTACGCAGGCTACACGTTGCCCCCCAAGTGAGCTGGGTACTCATTTTACTGACCTTGGAACAATAAAAGGCGGGGTCAACCTTGAGCCGGTACCTGTGACTGAATCCCAGGCCATGAGCACAGTTTTGGCTGCAGTACAGCAGTTTAACCACTGCACCATGAGGCTCCATAAGGGGACTTATGAGTAAATATAATAAGAATAACAACAGCAATGGGGGAAGTGCTGGGGGTTCCATGTGGCTGGTAGGCTCTGCTTTGCTCACTCCTGTGTTATAATGACATTCTCACAGGGGATGCAAAACTATTTGCACTTCTCTAGTTTAAAATGTTTTGTTAAGAGGGAATTAAACTGGGTTGTGGTGGGACATAGAGTCTTCCCGAAGAGTTGAGTTGGAAAAAAAGAGCAAAACCTGCTGCTTATATACCACCCCATAGTGCTTAAAGCACTCTCTAGGAGGTTTGCAACTTCAATTGTAAACTCACCTACAAGCTGGGTATTCAATTTACCGACCTTGAAAGGATGGAAGGCTGAGTGAACCTTGAACTGGCTACCTGGGATTAAATCCTGGGTTGTGTGCCATGAGGCTCCTTATAGTCAGGCATCTCCTGGGCAATGGCATGCAGCTGGCAAATCCTTCACTTCCAGAAGCATTGCACTGGAACAGCACCGAACCCACCCACTTCATGGACGCTGACCCCCTGGATGATGGTTGAAGTCAAGGAGAAGTTTCTGTACACATCTCAAGCTCTGGCCACTGCTGGTCAGAAATAGTCTGGTTGTCTTGACATTTTAATTGGTTTTTGATTTGGCCTGTATTTCACAGGTGCCTATGATTCTGGACTGTACAATGCTTTGACATGAACAAAGAAAGACAGACTCTGTTATCTCCAAGGAGATCCTCCTGTAGAACAGCCTAAAACTCCCTCCATGGCAAGTCACTGCAGAAAAAAAGAAAGCAGTGTTATGTAAAGAGGATGCACATTTGAATAAATGCACATCAGCTGCATCTTCATTCATATATGCATTTGAAGGCATACCCGGTGTGTTTATGCCATTCTCAATCTGGCAATGAATGCTTCCAAGCTATCTGACTCTCACACATGGGCCTCCTAAACTGGACTAGGGTAAATTTCAGCATAATAGGAGCCTTGATCAGTAATGACTCTTGTTAATATTGGATCTTATTGAGAGCCATTCTATCTATACATTCATGTATAGATCTCTCATTGCTTGTGCAAATTACTTTTTTGGACTACCGCTCCTGGAATTTCCCAGCCAACATGAGCATGTGTAACTTTTCCA